GAGGGAGCAAGAGACCAGCAACCTCTCTCTATTGCTAACCCAGGCCTATATACCTTTTGGGACATGCAAGCCCATTAATTACAGGTAAAGATATATGTCACCGGAAGGGGTTGTGCTATAGGTAATACAGTAATGGAAGGAGGTGGTTTAGGGGCATACATGCAATAGGAAGACAAGGGGTTGGAGGTATACATCCGACAAGATGTATGGATCCTAGATACAGGATGGCAGCTTAACTGAGCTGGTTAGACCTGTTCTCTGGATTTCCATAGGACCATTATCAGTAGGGTGTGAACCCCACCTACAGGAACCAAGCTAATGGTCACAAGCCTGTCCATTGTCCTTGAACAGCAGGGAGCGGGGCCTACCCTGTAGTCTGGTGACTAACTGCCTTCTGGGAGGATGTCTGTAAGCATCTGGCTTGCCCCCAGAGGTTATGTTAGAAAACATTAGTAAACTTTCTGTACTTCCTCTTGGTGAACCTCGTGCCTAATAAATACATGAAGGGCTGAAGCAATTGCGCAGTGTCCTCACTGGTTCAATGGTTTCCCGCCACCCATCTATTTCCCTGAGGCTTTTTCCTAAGTGTACTGCTTTTTCAAACTTAAGCCACAGCCATTACTACATGGTGTATAACCACCAATAGATCATCAGAGGCTAGAGAGGGAATGAAAGACATTGGGAACATTGACCATCTCTTTATTAATGCAAGGAGCAATCACTAAGTATGTGAATTTCCATTGACTGGAATCCTGTATCATGTGACTGGCAGTGGTGTTAGCCAGACCCTGGGGTTCATAGAGATTTGTGATCCCGTTGAAATACAGAGATGTGAGAGGCAGCAGATCAGATTAGCATTAGTTTTGGAAGGATATTGTTAAATGGTAAGCAATTCAGGCACAACAGTGGTCAAGTGTAGAGATAAGAGCCACCTCAGTGAGCAACATACAAGATGTCAAATTGTTGGGGATTCAAACTGGAAGAACTGGAAATGACTATAAGAACTTAGAGTCTAGAAACTAACTCCTCCCGCTCTGTCTCTCTGTTAGTGAAACGAAACACACAGAGAGTGTGCAGTAACCGCCTTATAGAGTGTATCTTCTTATCAACCATCCATTTCTCATGCTGATTTAAGATGGGGATTGTGGTGGCAGATGAGGTTGTAAATAAAGTGTAAGTAATTGAGGAAGTATAACGAAAAGAAATGAGAAAATAAGGTATTTTCACTTTACAGGCTTAAAACCATGCTGAACAGACAGGTCCATAAGTATGTACGTATGCACATGCCTAAACTCTTCCCCCAACACCGAGAGAAAGACAGTGGATGATGAAAGCACGAGGGGATGAATTAGAGAAGTTTCTGGAAGCTTTGACTCTTGGAATGTGGGTCCAAAGATAAAAGGAGAATATGGAGTTGAATGGAAGAGGCAAGCAAAGTGTTTTTTTGAAAGTCACAGTTACCTTGGTATAAGGGAAGATGAGGGGTGTGGTTGGGAGAAGGGTCAGATCAGGTAAGCCCAAAGACTAGGTCATTGTCATATAGTCAGTCCTGACTCAGAGTGACTCTACAGGCCAGGGAAGAACTACCCCTGTGGGTTTCTGAGACTGACTCTTTAGGAGAGAAGAAAGCCTCATCTTCCTCTGGTGGAACCCCTGGTGGTTTTGAACAGCTGACCCGTAGTTAGCAACCCAAAGTGCAACCCACCAGGGCTCCAATTTTGTTCAGAGTGAACCCCGCAGGAGCAGAGAGGCCTGGGATTTATGGAGAAATGCCAGATGAGAGAGGTAAGTGCCCCAAACAGCACAAAAGTCGTCCCAGTGGGGACTTGTGGTTGTCACCACAGCTCGGGTCCCCCTGTGACCATCTACTCTTATTTGGAAAGGCTCAGCCTCAGAGGCTCCTTGCTTAAGTCTAGTCACCCTTCCAACCAGCATTTTTGTCTGGAGACTTTGCCCAGGAGCACTCGTGGCATAATGTGAAATACCTGATCGCTAATAAAACGGTGAGTGATTCAAGCCCTTCAGCTGCTCCAGGGGACAAAGATGTGGAGGCCTGCTTCCTTCAAGATTGCCAATTTTGGAAACCCTGCTGGGCAGTTCTAGTCTGTCCTGCAGTGCCACTCTGAGTTGGAATTGACTTGACCATTACAGGGTCAGTTGTCGCTTTTAGGTCAGCTTTAAGGCCCTGCAGACAAGGGTAAGGCAGAGGTGGAATCCTCTAAGACCCCAGAATCTTTTTCCTTTCAATTTAGTTTCCAACGTTTGCCCCTCCTACGGTCGATGTGCGTGAGGGTCCTGCTCAATCAGATGTTTGCCAGGTGTGGGTTAAAGGGAGAGGGGTTGGTCGCATCTTCACAGCATCCTTTCTGTGCTAGCAGTCAACAGTATCCCTAATCGTGCTAAAGGCTGCATCTCTGAAATGCTCCAGGGTTTTCCCTTTCCCCCATAAAACGAAGGCGCTTGAACTAATGAGCAACATGTGCTTGTCCAAGGCCACCTTTCTTTACTTTGAGACATTTCACATTGAGGCTGTAAAAGCACCTGTGGGGAATGTTAAAAGAAAATGAGGTCTCATTGCTGGAAGAACAATGAAGATGCAAGAGCTAGACAGATTTATCCTGTTGAAGGGGAAGAAGTATATTGGAGGAGCGTTGCTTTGAAAATCCACCCTGCTTTTGTGAAAACACTCTTTGGAGGTTGTTACACAAGGGAATCGACTAACGAGTTTTGAGACTGTCTTGTATGGCCCATCTTATTACCCCACTGGACCGTGTGTTCTTTGTGTCCCCAGAAGCTAGTCGAAAGCAATCCCTGCTCCTTGGATAAAAGCACTGAGTGGCGATACCCTCTTACCCATTAAAATGTATGCAAGCAAACTATGCTAAAACCACCATCCATTTGCCCTTTTTCTGATTGCTTGTTAAGTCCACAAGTCGTCTCCTTATGAATAGCAGCCATCTCAGTTAAGAATCAGCTGTGCAGCTGTGGCCAAGTGGCCTTCTGTTGTCTTAAAGTTAGGAGAGCACAACCCTTTCAAAAATGTCTATGCTCACATCTAGGAAAATAAGAGATTCAGAATATCAGTTGTGTATGTGGGTGCAGAATAGAATAATATTATTCACATACTGGGTGGTCTCATTATCCCAGTGTTCATTATCTAAGTTCCTGCCAAATTGAAGTTGTGCAAGGAAACATTATCACAATATGAATTATTAAGTAATGCGTTGAGCAATTTCAAAATTAGCTCTCACATACAAGCTCCTCCACGCCTAAATCTTACGGAGTGAATGATTCAATGCAAATAGATTATTAAAATGAAATAACAAATCTTGTGGGAAATTGCAGGATTTATCAATTTGACGAATAAGAAGGTTAATGAACTTTTTGAGCGTGTGTCAAATTATTTCAAATGAGAACTTGGCACAATTTGAGCAATTAAATGAAGGAACAGAGAGAAAAACCAAAAACATGAAGATACATAAGTATACAATAACTACTGTAAATGAAAATAATTTCATTATTCAAATATTAGGTTAAAAAAAACCTGTTAAACAAATCCTGCCTTCACGTATTTGAGCGTGCTTGTAAATATGGTCTTGTCTACAGTAATGCTGTAGGAATCAAATATGCCGTGAACTATCTTATCAAGCAATTACATACATGCACCTGAGAAACACAGATAAAACTGCTATTTTGCTGTTTTAAAATCTTTACTAAAATAAGAGCTAGTTCTAACTACAAAGTTACATGGGCAGCTTAAACTCACTAATAATAACAAGATGAAATAAACTTACTTCATAATTATGGAATTACTGTTTAAGATATAGATGCACTATCTTGATCAGCCTTCATTTGGGTTTCAGTAATTCCTCTCTGTTACATTGCCCTTGATCAAGCCCTACCAGACCTCCTACACCCTCCTTGCCATTGATTTTTGGATCACTTGCTGTTCCCTTGTCCCTGGGTTTGTTAACACCACTTCCTTTCCCCCTCTGCCCCTTTTCCCAGCTGCACATGTAACTTTGTAGTTAGAACTAGCTTATTTTAGTATAGATTTGATAGAGAGGCTGGACAAACAGCCAATGGTAATTTCCCTTCCAACCCTGAGCCAGCTGGAACACTTTTGTGAAACAATGGGGAGCTGAGAGGAGATGCCGCTTGTTAGAGCATTTTTCCTTTTGAGGAGCTGCAAAGATCTTCATTCCCAGTGCACCCAGGACCCCCTAAGGGACCCTGGATTTAGGGGCAACTGTTACCCCAGCCCTGAATATTCTACCTGTAGTAGAGGCAGCAGGGGAATTTGGTCCCCCGGCAATTTACAAGCCTTTTACTCTAACTGAATGCAAGCAAATTAAAAACGACTTGGACAGTTACTCTAACAAACCTGAACAGTACAGCACCTCACCCTAGCCTATGATTTAATCTGGAAGGATGTAATGGTCATACTGGGACAGACTATGCGTGTGACAGAGTTTGAGAAAGAACAAGTGCTCAAAGGTGCTAGGAAGTTTGCAGAGGAGTTACATGTGATGTGAAAAGTGTCGTGTAGGGGAAACTGCTGTACCTTTAACAGACCCTGCTTGGAATCACAGTGAGCCTCAGGACAAGCGGACACGGGGACATTTCCTGGTGTGCATCACAAATGGACTGAAGACAGGTAGGCAAAAGGCCATTAATTATGCCAAGGTGACAGCGATTCACCAGGGACCTACGGAATCTTCCTGTAAGCTTTTTAGAGTGGCTAAAGGAGGCCCTGAAGAATCCTACTGCTACAGATCTAGAATCCTCTGAGGGGCAAGTCAGTCTTCCTCAGGGGCAAGTTTCTCACACAGGCAAGAAGCTCCAAAAACGACTGCAGACGCCTGCAGGAGCTCCCCTCGAGGAGATGGTTGCTTGTGCTAATGCAGCCTTTTACAATAGGGAGCAGGAAGGGGAGCCCGGGAGAAGGAGAGAAGGAAGGACATTAGGTTTGCCCAGGTATTGGCTGCACTTGATAACCGATGCCCGTTGAATGCCTCCCAGGTTTCTCAGACCTTTGAACCAGGTACCAAGTGCTACATGTGCTGGCAACCGGGTCATTGGGCTAGGAACTGCCCTAACTGGAACAAGCCTCCTCAGAAGCCATGTGTCCTTTGCAAGCAGACTGGCCACTGGGCTGGCCTCTGTCCTAAGGCCCAAAACCTGGAGGGGAGGCACCCACAGGCCAACGTGCAGCTGATAAAGGAGGAGGAGGATTGAAGGCGCCCGGTCCTGACGTCCCAGCAGCAAGAGATAGCTGTTACTGGTCTGGAACCTAGGGTGAGCATCAATGTGGCAGAAAGGTCAGTGAAGTTCCTTTTAGATACTGGGGCCACCTTCTTTGTCCTTATTTCCTTCCCTGGCACCCCGCACCTGCTCCATCCTGGGAGTGTCAGGAAACCCTGTAGTTAAACATTTTACTGAACCTCTCAGATGTCTTTGGGATAACTTCTATTTTTCTCATAGCTTCCTAGTGATCCCTGAATGTCCAGCTCCTCTCCTAGGCTGAGGCATCCTGTCCAAGCTGCACACCTGCATAGTCATCGGGCCTCATCCTCGTCCCTCTACAGCTTTCCAATTGTTTCTCACAGTGGAGGAGCCTCAGATACACCCACAGGAACCATGGAAACAGGCCATAACTCCTGAAGTTTGGGATACAAGAGTCCCTGGCAAAGCTAAGTATGCCACCCCTGTAAAGATTTTCCCAAGGGGCGTTCAGAAGTCACCTTGCCCAACCTGTCCAGCGCAAGGGATCCTACCCTGGGGAAGACTGGCAGATGGATTTTACTCAGGTACCTGCTGTCCAGGGATTTAAGTATCTTTTGGTGTTTATAGACACCTTTACTGGGTGGATTGAAGCATATCCCACCCACACTGAGTGGCTCATGAAGTGGCTATAAAACTACTTCAGGAAATAATTCCTCGGTTTGGGCTTCCCAAATCGCTGCAGAGTGAAAATGAGCCTGCTTTCATCTCCCAAATCACTCAAGCAGTCTCCCAACACTTGGGAATAACCTATCGTCTCCACTGTGCCAGGAGACCTCAGTCCTCAGGGCAGGTAGAGAGAATTAATCAACACCTGAAGCTAACCCTCAGAAAGCTGACACGAGAAACTCAGATGAGCTGGAAAGATGCACTACCCATAGCTCTGCTACGTCTTAGGATTGCCCCATGGCAATCTACGTGTTTGAGCCCCTATGAAGTTTTATACGGGCAGCCTTTTCTTATAACAGAGCCAGCTATAGACCCTGAGGTAGCCTTAGTACAGCAATATGCCACCCAAGTAGCCCAATGTCAGGAGGCCTTCCATCAGTTTGGGCTCACTCAGACCCAAGGGGAGGAAAAGTTACCACCCTTGTGCCAGCCAGGAGATCTAGTTCTTATAAAAACTTGGAAGGATGGACCCCTAATTCCCAGCTCCAGCCAGTCTGGAAGAGACCTTTGCCAGTCATTCTTTCTACACCCACTGCTGTCAGAGTTCCAGGGCAGAGTGCTCAGATCCACCATACCCGAGTAAAACCCTGGAGACCATCACCATCTGACCCCTCCGAGGCAGAGGCTGCAAACAAATACTCCTGTGAGCCGCTGGACGGGCTTAGGATGGTATTTCATCGCCACCCCAGGGCAGATGAGGGCCACGCTGATAATTCTACCTCAGATCCCCACAGCCTTAGGCCAGTAAATGCCTTTACCCCATTCCTGTGTTTACAGTAACCAAACTCTCATGCCTGTTAGTCCTAAGATTTCTATTGATTTCCTGTGACACTAACCTAACCTAAGGGCACTGCCACCTCACAATCTTACCCTTGTCTCACTTAAACTGTTCACCTGTTTGTCGCTTGCTTTTCCAGAAGTTCTCAGGTTACCAAGGCCTCTGAACCAAGTGTGCCAGCTCCAGGACCACCATCTCCTGGACCACATTGACCTCATCCATCCTGGGCCCTAAATGGACAACCCCTTCTAACAGAGTAGGAAGGGTATGGACCCAAAACCCCACTTCACCCCTTTTGTCGGCAGGAAGTAGCTAGAGATGTTGTCGCCCAGTACCCCAAAGATTTGGGTCCACATCTCTTCAGGGGGCAATGTTAGGTAGGCTAGCGAAGGGCTGGGATGTCCGTTAACACATTCCAAGCTATGGAAACAGAGGAGTGGCACACTGCACATGCTCAGAAGTTCTGGTTTCCCGCCAGGTATGCGTGGGTGGGCACAGCACCTGGATTGGCTCACCTAGGCTAGGTGAATTCAATTCGGCCAATGGGGTTGACCACCAGGCCTCCCCACAGAATCATTGACAAGGCAGGAGCCCAGAGACTTTGCGTGACTCTGCGAGCAGCTTCCAGGCAAGCTGTATGTTCAGGAGGAGCCCCACGGGTGCCCATGTAACCTAAAACTTCTTCTAACGCTCATAAAACTCACTTGGATCACAAACTAGGCTTTGGTGTGAATTGTTTCTCGCAAGGCGCCAAGGACGGAGGTATAGCTAGCACTTTGGTGTGAATTCTTTCTCATGCAGAGCCAAGGACCGAGGTATATCTATCTCCAGAGAGATCTAACAGATCCGCAATCAGTAGATCAAGTGATGCATTACATTGGGTAAATCACAAGAGCTCTTTAAAGTGTTGAAAAATAACAATGTTACCTTGAGGACTGACTTTGTGCCTGAACCAAGCCATGGTATTTGCAGTCACCTTACAAGCAGGTGACATTTGGACATTGAATAAGGAAGCTATATCAATACCAGACTGGGTTCTAGCAGCAAGTGACCTTGAATCTCCCCCCACCCGGGCGGAGCTGACCAGAGCTGGCTAATGGCCCGCTTTATTCTCGACCTGCCGCTCTGGACCTGGCACCGGCAGGGTCCGTTTGGCTCAGTGCCTGCTTTATTCTCACCCACCGATCTGCATCTGGCACGAATATACCCGGAACCAGGAAGACACCTTACATTCCAGAAACCCGGACATACCTGTCCATATATGAGCATCACTCCTGTAGCCTGCAGTGCGACTCCCCCAGCCCGGACATTGTGGACTGTGGGACTTCGCCCAGGCTGGATTTCTCTCTGTAATCAAGCCTGTTTGTTCTAATTTGACTGATTTTGGTTTTGGCACCTCTCAACTACCTTACAGACCCTGAAGAGAAGTCAATGCATCTGAATGATGGTGCACCACTGATTCCTGAAACAGCAAGCAACTCTGTCTTGGAAGAAGTACACCCAGAATACTTGCTCCTTAGAGGTAAGGATGACAAGACTTGGTCTCACATTATAGGGACTTATTATCAGGAGAGGCCAGTCCCCGTAGAAGGACATCATGCTTGGTAAGGTAGAGGGGCAACAGGAAAGAGGAAGACCTTGGCCAAGATGGATTGACCCAGTGGCTGCATTCATGGGCTCAAACCTAAGAGCAATTGTGAGGGTGGCTTGGGACCCGTCATTTTTCTCTGTGGGGCACGGGGTCGCTATGAGTTGGACCCCAATCAACAAAACCTAACAGCAACAGACGTGAAGAACAAAATCACGTGTTCTAAATCAAGCTTTTGTACTGAATAATTTTCAAGTATCAAAATTTTGGTAATGCCCACATTTAAATGAAATTTCACTTTATGAATTTTGCTTGTAGAAATAGTACTTATTTTATCAATATTCTTTCTTTTCAGTTATTCAAATGTATTCACTGCAGTAGTACCAAAATTTTTTAATGATATCATTTTATGTGCAGGCAAACTGAAATGACAAAATTATCTGCAGTACTGTGGGAAACAGAAAGATTTCTCCCAAGTAGTCTCCCCAAAATATATGTTAGACTTAGGACACTGCTTATAGCTAATGGTAAATTATTGTCCAGTTACCTCCCTGAAGGCAGTCAGTTGCCAGACTACTGTTTGGTCCCACCACAGGTAGGCCCCACTCCTGCTGTTAAGGACAATGGGCTACTTCTCCCTAAAGACTTGCAGCCATTAGTCTGGTCCCTGTGGGTGGGGTTTACACCCTACTGATAATGTTTCTATTGTGGGCTAGAGAACAGGTCAAACCTGCTCAGTAACATCCAAAGTTAGGCTGCCATCCTGAACCTAGGATCCCCCCATCTTGTCACATGTGTACCCCTATTACCTCCCCTTCCTATTACGCGGATACCCCTAGATCACCCCCTCCCATGACTGTATTACCTATAGCACAACCCTTTCCTGTGACATATGTCTTCACCTGTAATTAGGGGGCTTGTTCGTCCACAGAGAATATAAAAGCCTTGATTATTTAGCAATAAATCTCTCTCTCTCCACATGGACCACCAAGTGAGACTGAGGTGAGCATGCTACCATGAAATGTGTCTGACTTCATTATTTCAATCTCTCTTTTATCTCTCATGCTCTCCATGACTTTACTATAATCTTATTATCGCTGTACAATTTCACCTACCAGGCCCATGATGATGTGTTAGGGCGGGTACCCTGACACAGTACAAAAATTGAGAGTTCCAGAGATAAAAGGAAATGGATTTGGTTACTCATTAGCCTGCTAACTGCAAGGTCAGCGGTTGGAAACCACCGGAAAGACAGGGCTTTCTACTCCTGTGAAGAGTTACAGCCCTGGACACGCACTAGGTCAGTCCTACCCTGTCCTACAGAGTCACTGGGAGTCGGCGCTGACTCAGTGGCAGTGAGCTTGTTTTTCTGAAAGGCCATTCCCAGATTAGTTTCCGGTTTAAAATGTAATGAATCAGAAGGGATCATTTCCATTTAATGCTTGAAATTAATGGATACAAATCTCTAAAATTATACCGAAAATATTGAAATGGCCAACATAACTGGTTCTATTACTTATGGAAATACAAGTAAAATCATAATGATGGAGAAAGAAAAAGTAAATTAGAACTAAAATTGTTGCATCTGTCAACCCTATACAGTAGTACTGATCTTGCTTTGTGTAATATAACTTTTCTGCTAATGATTCAAATTATTGAATTGAAAGAGGAACAAATGATGCTCAACATCCCAGTAGACGGTTTGAAAATTCATGTTCAAAATACCAAAATGATAAACAAATACGGTTTTGTAGCCAGAATAGTTATCTAGGGTGCCAAGTTATAGGTCAAAATTGTAAGAGGAAGTGGCTGTTATGTTCTCCACCAGTCCTCTTTCTGTATCATTTTGTTTGCAAAGCATTCAGTCATAAATCACTTAATTCCTGGTTTGCTACAGAGAGATTTAGTGACCGTCATAACACAACCATGATTGGTAAGTATGAAATCAGTTCGGTATGCAGAGATTGTATGTTGTCATGCTTCAACTAAAGTCATGCTTTTGGCTTAACTCAAGAACTGGACACACAAGAATGTTAGTATCTTAAGCCAATTTGCAACAAGTTGATGCTGTCATTATACTTATCACTGAACAAAGATGATCTTTTCAAAGAACAGATAAAGTATGAGTTGGTCCCCACAACATGGAAATTTGGGGCATTTACTTCAACTTGTTTCTCAGTTTGATCCATTTTTAGGAGATCACATCTGAAAATATGGTAGTCAGAGAAAGAGCAACCCACTGTAGACGTTTGAAGCGATATGTGAAAAATAAATACATTTAAAGTTTGAGTTGTAAAGTTCCAAAGTAAAATAGAATTTACTAAGTGCACAGACCATCCCTATATGCTGCTCTATGGTAGGGTGGTACATAGGTGTGCAGTAGAAAATTTTAGAACAAAATGCATATGCCATTTCCGTTTCATGTTCTGTGCATTCACTCTATCTTGCAGGACAGAGTCATAAATTATTATCAGGAAGCAGTTGATTTTTCTCCTGTCAGTTTACACCATTTTTGCCACTTCTACTCACCGATGTGCAGTTCTTAACATAGACGTAGGCAATTATCAAGTGTGCGAATGTCTTTCTAATAGATAGCCCAAAGTGCATGCTGTCGCCAGGAAGGAAATCATGGGATCTGTGCACTCAGATGCTTTGGAAGTGGAAAGCCAGATGGCCACCATGGCAGGCTCCACAACCTCGGGTAAGCCTTCGTTTCCTTTCTTCCCTAGCAGTACGGGGCTGGAGAATCCCAGAGACACAGCTAGCCAACCCCAGAACAGCACAACGGCCCTAACCACCAATGAGAAGACGACCCAGAGCTCGGAAGTCCCAGAGACTGAGGCTGGCCAACCCTGGGAACGACAAGACAGACTAAGCTGCCAGCTCACCACAAACAAGCCAATCAGTGGAAAGCAGGAGGGGCGGGCTGGGGACGCCCCGGCAACATAAACCCTGTGTATATAAGTGATGGCATTTTCTTTGTTCCCGGCTCTTGTCCAAGACGCAGTTGGGTACCTGAGGACTCGAGCCCTGGCTTAAGCTAGTACAAATAAAACCTCTCTTGTGATTGCAGCCTTGTGTCTCTTCTCCTTCCATTGTTGGAGTAAGCGCTCCTGGTCCCTACAGAAGGTATGGCCAAAGACTAGACAGACACCCACACACAAAAAAAGATGTCAGCAGAGAAACCAGAAACATTGCCCCAAAGGTGCTGTGAAATCAAATATTGTAGGTAGCATTTGCATCGGTTGAGTCAATCTTTTCAAGATTCATAAATAATTGAACAGCTCTCTGTTGGCTATTAACAGATCACTTATACAAACTAAGAAAATATTTGAAAATAAGAAAATACCAACTTTCCAGAAGTGTGAGAAAGAAACAAATCAATGACCAAAGTGCTCCAGAAGCATTGTGGAGGGCCAGAAATCAATTTCCCAGGGAAGTGTGATAATGTCATTATGATTCCATAATGAAAAATAAAATACAACATATGCCCCAATTTTGAGATTGCTTTACCCAGATTCATAACTTTAATGACAACTGCCCAATAGAACACTGATTTTCATTCCTAAGGGGGCTCAATAACACTGTGGACAACAGTGAGTCAAGAAAGATTTGGTTTATTATCTTTATGGTGTTTGGAAGTAGAGATTGTTTGGCAGCTTAATTGTTATGAAATCATTGAAGAACTTAGAGCAAAGGTTAGGAAGAACATTTTAGTTGTAATGTTTCAGAGAGTAAAGATCTATCTAAAAATAAAACAGTAATTTGTTGTAATATTTGTCTTCTGATCAATATAGTCTCTTTTTGACACCCCTTCATTTATAATTATAGCTTTTATTATGAAGCAAGCATCAAAATTGAAGTATGAGCCACTTAAAGCAAAATTGCTAAAAGGCCATTGCTCACGGTAGGTGACCGAGAGAATTCTGCATTGATTGCAGAGACAATAGAGTTCACAGACTCAGTTTCTTTGCTGTGGGAGATGTGCACATTCTTTTTGAAGAAAACATGGCATAGAGTAAAAAAGAAAAAAAAATAATGCCCCTCATCCACTAAAATTATTACTGTACGATCCAGTTTATCTCATTCTGTTAAAATGGTGGACATCACTTTTTCTTTCAAGTGCTGACACGACAGTCTCATTTGAAAAAAAGTGACATGGATATCTAAGACACGCATGCACGCACGCCCACACACTCCTACATCTCATTGGAATATGCGAGTCAGCAGAGGAGAGGGCACCATCAATTGTCCATTGTCAGGACTGTTCATTCGGCTCTGTCTCCAGAGATGGGTGGGGGTTGGGGTGGGGAGAAACTCTTCGTAAGATTTTAAAATGACTTTCTAGAGACGTTTGTTTTTCTCAATGTACAAACCTCTGAAAAAATTCATAACTGCAGTATTTTCTTTTTAATACATTGTATTAGTGACAACATATTTTCTCACATGAAAAGTCTTTGCAAACTCACTTAGCCTGAGAAGCCCATAATAGCATCAACTGAAGATTTCTCAATGTAATTACTAGGAAAATGAAAAACCAAAAGCCAGACTGGAAGAAGGCGATACATTCTTAACAGTTTCTTCCCTCCTTCCTTCCTTCCATTCTGTCTTGGGTTGTTGATCAATGTTTTGTTTCTTAGGCCCACTTTTCCTATAAATAAACTCTTTCTGAGGTCTCTTCTGAAATATGCTATATAGAAACTGCAGCTCTCTCTATAGATGTGTTCACATGGGAAATGACCAACCACCTTGTTCCCTGTTGGGCAGCAGGAATGGCTGCAGAAGCAGCAAGGAGTCTGACATTTAGGGGCCCGGAGGCTTTGTTTGTTTGTTTCTTTTACTAAAGTCCCTTTCTTTCAAAAATAAACATTTTAAAAGACCTGAACAAAATCATCAGGTTTCTGTTCTCTCTGTTACATCAATTAATGGTACCTGAAAATCCAATTCAATTTAATTTTCTTGAAATGGAAACCTGGGGGAAACGCCTTCCCTGTTTCAAAGGAAGCCTACCTGTACAACTGTTCCCAGTATCAAAGGTGACTATACTCGGGGCTTCGGAACGGGAGACACAAACCCAGAGTAATGGCGTCTGGAAAATGGGAAGGAAGGCACTGATTCTATGCATTAAAAATAGAATCACCTGAGAGAGTGGGAGCGTGAAACTGCTCCGTTTGGGGTTTTGGGTCTCAGGCATTTTAAAGTCAAAGGATTTGACACTTCCTCACCAGGGACTTTTAACACAATGTTAAGTCTCAGCCACGTATTTATCAAGGAAGGAATCTGATTTGTGATTCAGTGGTGCAGTGGGTCAAGTCAGTTTTCAGTAAGCTTGGCTTCCTGAACACAAGACCCGTCCCTATTCAACGTGGACCCCTAGCTAACTGGAACTATGTTACCAAAAACCAAAAGCCAAACCCACTGATGTTGAGTCGAGTGCCTGGAATTTCCTTCCGTCAGCCTATTTGCGCCCACACACCCATATTATCCCACAGAGGAAAGTCTCTGTTTTCCTAACTAATAAGCAGCCCAAATGATCCAGGTTTGACTGGTGCAGGTAGAAAACCGCCACTTCTTACCACCCCTGTGATAAGCTTCTATAATACGCCAAGTCAGGAGTCTTGGCTCCTCTGGACTCTTGTCAAAAGCTCCTAGATCTTGTTGAAATTGTCACACCTGCCGGTCACAGATCTCCATGGAAACCAAGTGCATCCTACTGAAATCAGATTAGGTTACTCCCTAAATAGTTTCTCATTTTACACTGGATGAAACATGAATTTTTCACCTCCCGCAAGAACTAGAACAGCTCATTCTATTGCGTCACACAGGCCTTTGCTTATATGTACTATTACAGAGAAGCTCTCTCTGACCATGCAATAAAACCTCTCTCCCCCCCTCTCCCTTGATCCAGTGATAGACGGTACCACATACTACTATTTGTTCATCAACTGTAATACAAATTTCATGAGATTAACATTTGGCTTTACTCACTGTTGTCGATCACGCACTACTACTATAAATTGTTCTTTATCTAGTTAACATTTAATGAGTACCACTTGTGTGAAAAACAGAAGGATGGCTCAGCTCTGGGTAAGACACTAGGCAAATAATAACACACATGAAGGAATGAATAGGGCAGGGTGAATATGGGGAAGGCTGGATCATTCAGAGGTAGCTAACCTGGGTTCAAATTGGGCTATGTCTCTGCCGTCTGATAGATTTGAAACTTTGTAGAATGACTTTAATCTCCTTAGCCTCAGAAGGCTTATTTGAAAAAATGAAAAATTTTACACCCCCAATTATTTATTTGAGACACCAGACGATTTCAAATATGAAATAAAGCCGTGCGCGTGAAAGTGCTTAGCACTGTGCCTTGCAAATAGAAAGGTGTCAGAGTCTGTTTCTCAAAAGAACATGTAAACTAATCAGCATGGGTTAAGTTGAGCTGGCAGCTTGGCTACTGGCCACCTTTAATGTCCTTTGGTTGTAGGGTCATAACTTGCTGATGAGTAGAGTAGGAGATGCACTTGAGGTGGAATTACATTTTATTTTTCCAAATTTTTTTAATGTAGAGAAAGGAAGACAGCAATCATTTTATGGAGTCTGAACAGTCCATCTGGTAGCGTAGTGTAAGATATTTAAAACTAAAAGATAAATCTATAGATGAGTAAATTAATTAGCCATTATTGAAAGAAGGGAAATTATTGTATTCTCATAGTAGACTACGCCACTCCCTGCTGAAAATTTAAACAATCACACCCACTGCTACGCAGTTGGTTCTGACTCAGTCACCCTTATGTAGGGCTTATGAGACTGTCCATCATTACAAAAGCAGCCAGCCTCATCTTTTTCTTGCAAAGCAGTTGATGGCTTTGAACTGTCACCTTGTAGAGCTCGAATTATGCAAGGGAAACATGGTCAGATTTGAGAGAGTCTGAGCTCTTTGTACTTAAAAGACTGTTACAGACTGGGTTACCCAGAAGACAAAGACAAGAAGGAAAGTGCATTGTGCATTAGAATGGATACTGGGTAGACATGCATTCCAGCAGGATGAGAAAGATGAGATGACTCATCAAGTAAGAGCTGAAGGCTAGAAATAAAGGGGAATGTTTCCAGCTCCATTATTCCAACATTTCAAGCAATCTTAGGATGTGGGGCCTCAGATTGAGTTCTCCTTAAAAAAAAAAAAAAAGCAAAACATTGGCTAAGCAACCTGGTTCACTTCTTCAGGGGGATATCACATCAGCCTCAGGGAACTGCAGGGCCTGCTTGCATTTTGCTCGACTCTGTAGTCTAGCTCGGTGGTTCTGCTTGGAGTTTGTGGCAAATTAACTAGCCTTTGTTACTTTCTTCTGGAAGTTAGAGGTCAAAGTCATTTTTATGGAAATGAAATAGATTCATAATAAAATAACTGAAGACTAGGCTAAGAATTATTCCTATATTAAGCACTTAGTATAATTTGTTCTAGTTTCTTTAGTACTAAACATTTGGGGGCGGAAAATGTAATTTTAAACCAGAAGAACAAGATTTTTGCTAAAGACTGAAATTTATTCTTTCGAGGCCCAGGAGAAAAGCAAAATAAATTGTTTCACTGTAAATTAACCACCCAAAAAATGACAGCTCGGGAGACCACCAGCGCAGAAAGCAGCACAAGAAAGAAGACCTTATTTATCAGCCGACGCTCTGTAAGTCAGTCCCAAGATTCTTACTGCTCCCTTTCCAGACCCTCTCCTTTTCTGACGTCTACAAAACCCTCTCCTTTCTCGAGCCTAGGGCATAGCAGTTTGGATCTACTCCGACTCCATGAATATCCTTATTCACTTGAATTGTCTCTTGAATTGACTTATTCACAGCAAGCAGCCTGAATCACCAGCATTGTGTGAACAAAGGTGTGAATATATAGAGGATTAAACAGAATGGAATAGGGAGAGAAGCAAAAAGAAGGAATTAGTAGAGAGTGCATAAAGATCAGAGGAACAGGTTCTAGATAGAATATCTGTAACACCTCTACTCCTGTACCCTCAGGGAATCATTACTACCG